TTATTTTCTTTTCTGTAGCACTCAATAATCATTTTATTCTCTAGTGCTAGTTCTTTCTTTCTCTTTATTCTAAGAGAATTGGTTCTTTTCTTTATCTCTATTCTTAGAGTGTTTCTTTCTCATTTCTCATATTTCTTTCTCATGTGATTACTCAATTAAACATATGCATAAGGATGGCTCATGCCTAAAATCTTTCTTATATGCATTCATGAAATGCAAATATGCTATGTTGCATAAAGTAAGGTTCTCTACTTCTACTCATGCTTCTTTTAGGCATTTCATCAAACAATATGTGTGTATACATAAACTCTATTCTACACTTTAATTATGACTCTTTCTTACCATCCAAAATTGGAGTTCAAATCCTTTAAAACATCACACATCCTGCAAAGAAAACACAGTTCGAATATTCCTCTCAATCTTCTAATTCTTCCATACTTCTACCAAAATTTATCAACACAATCCACCCTTCTCATGGTGGAAATTTCCTCATAAACAACCTTGAACTCATTCATGAATTCATCAACTATTTCAAAACATAAAAATTCGAGCATTAATCATATATAAAATCTTACACATCATTCAATCATGCAAATCACAACTTAGGTGGATTTACTTACCTTAAGCTCAAGGAGAAACCATTAAGCTCTCTACTCTTGATGTTGAACTTCCTCTTAAACCTTCAATACAAACTAATAAGATCCTACCTGTCAACAATAAAACTTACATCTAGAGTAAGGATTCTCACCTTTTAGTGCTTAGGATCAACTTGTAACAATTTCTAGTCAAAAGCCCTTCAAAGATCCTTGGAAAATTGAATGAAAATTTGAGAGAAGTGAAGGATGAAAGAGGCGGTGGAGAAGAATCAAGTGAAAGGGTTTCTAAAGCTAAACCCTTAATATCTTATATTTTCTCCACTCTTTCCCAATATACCCTTGCTCCTTCTTTGAAATTCCACCTATGACCTTTAATTCTTTGCAAAAACATCCCCATTCAAACTATTCTCCATGCAATTTCCTTGCATTTCACTCCCCACTTTTCCTGCTAATTAGGGGTAGAATGGTCATTGAGTCTCAAAAGGAAGAATTCTCTAAAACTCAAGGGAAAAATTCAGCCGAGTCTTCGTCGCGGCGAAGTTATTTCTTCGCCCCAGTGAAAACTCACAACAGCTACACGGGCATGTAGCACTTCATCGCCGTGGCGAAGCTTCTTCTTTGCCCCGGCGAAGACTGTAATATCAAGATTTCGCCAAGTCTTACAAATTTTCAGGGTAATCACTCAACCAAACCAATACACCCTTTCAACTAACGGTAAACCAAGCAATATTAACAACATATAGACTCAAATGAGGATAAATCAACAAACATTCAAGCCATTCATCAAATCTTAACTACGTACCTCAAGTGGGGCGTTACAAGAATGATTGAAATACTTGTTATATTTCTCTCTCACACTTGTAAGATCACAAAGACCATGCACTTATATAGTGCACATGAAACCCTATTCCAATAAGTAATAGGCTTGGGCTCCAACCTAAACAGCTCATATATCCAAACACTCCCAATCATGATATTTTATTTTAATTATTATTATTTCCAATTAAACTCAATTAATATAGTTATGGAAATATATTAACATTTATTAATAATAATAATCCATTTAAATATATGTGTACATATATTTAAATGTAATCTCACTTATTTAATTTTACTATCAAATTAAATATAGGCAACAACCTCAGCAAATTTAATTGCAATGTGAGATTACCAAAATACCCTTTCTCCCTAAAAGATAAAAAGGCCCCTTGCACAAACTAATTCTTAAATTATCTTCTATGTGTATGACTCGTAGGCTCCTCATCATACTGGTAGTGTGTAGTATTGCGATTAACACTAATTAATCATCTAACTACACATAAACCAAGATTGGCCCCTAGCAAGGCATCATGACCACCCGATAGATTCAGATTCAGCAAAGCAACTACCTATCAATGATATGGTTACTGTGCAATCAAATCCTTTCATCATCTATTATCTCATTGAGACTGAGGATTTGAAATAGTGTCAACTTTAGTTACTCTCGATATATATGTATTCAGTTACTGGACCAATAACCGGAATAATAAATTAGATTGAGCAACAACTCAATCCCACTGTGGCCACAATTTTATTGTCATTGCCATTTACTGAATTTGCGCCGTGATATAACTTCTCCTATACCCAGGAGTGATGAATTCTCTGTCAATCTACCATAGTCTTGATAAACTCTTTGATGCAGCTAATCACTACCGTATTGATAGGTTTGAATAGAACTGTGTTGGGCTAGTGTCAAACTACACTAATCGGTGCACAAGGCGCTCTAGTGATCTCAAGTCTAAGGATTACATGCACTACCATTCGTTAGAGGATTTATTCCATAGACACTAAGGTTACCATTGATATGGAATCCTCTGGTGGGTCAGTCCAGTGAAATTTCCTACAGCAAGCACCCATGTGCTGCACTAGGTTGTTAGCAAACAACTTTGACAAGTGAGATCAGTCACTGCCTTTCGACAAGGTCATTCAACACTATGATAGCCTTACTGTATTATCTGTGTCCTTGGTCAGAATAATATTGGGATTACAGACATTTCTAGAATGGCCACCATATGTGCTCATAAGGTTCTCACTATCAAGATTTGAAACACTTGATACCCTTGTCACGGTTCTACCATTCTAAGGACATATATCAATACATATAGATATGATTTACACGATATAGAATAAAAATGCCTTTTATTGATCAATGAACATTATTACAAAGAGTCAATTCTACAATAATTGATTGGCTCTAAGGCACCTACTCTGACATGCGAAGTTTGGATCGAACCGTCCTCCAACATAGTGCTTCAAACAGTGTCCATTCTTCACTGCATCAAGTAGTTTTACCATTTCATTTCATACCACTTCTTGCATGGCAGTATTTAATCTCCTTTGTGGTTGTATTGTTGGCTTGAAATTCTGTTCCATGAGGATCTTGTGCATGTAGATGGAAGGGCTTATTCCCTTGATATCAGCAATTGTCCATCCCATAGCCTTCTTGTGCTTTCTCAAAATGTCTAGCAATGACTTCTCCTCCAAATCTGTCAAAGATGCAAAAATGATTACAAGGTAAGCATCTTTATCTAGAAAATCATATTTTAAATGTGAGGAAGAGGTTTAAGTTCAAGTTTAGGAGCCTTATTAGGAGTTTTATGCAAATCCTCCTTTAGCTCCATATTACTATCAGTTAGAGATTCCTTCTCTAAGACTTCAGCTTCTTCTCTCAAGCATGGGTCTTTATCTTCTGTTGTGCTTGACTCCATTAGACATCTCTTCAAAGAATCCTTTCGCAGAACTTCTTCTCTGTGATCACCTACAATCTCACCAAAATTGTCAGAGTGAAAACAAGATTCAATATATAATGTAATAGGATTTTTCATCACTTTATGGACATCAAACACTATTTCCTCGTCATTTAGTCTCAAGATTAAGTTTCCTTGTTGCATGTCTATCAGAGCACAAGCTATCGAAAAAAATGGACGTCCCAAAATTAGAGGCACCTTCTAGTCCTCCTCCATATTAAGAACTATGAAGCCCACTAGAAAGATAAATTTGTCGACCTTTAACAAAATGTCTTCAACAATGCCTTTAGGTTGCTTGATTGATCTATCAGCAAGCTGGAGCGACATGTTTGTCTCTTTCACTTCTCTAAGTCCTAGCTTCTTGAAAATTGATAAAGACATTAAATTAATAATAGCACCTAAATCACACAATGTTTTATCAAAGAATGAATCTCCTAATGCACAAGGTATAGTAAAACTCCTTGGATCTCTCAACTTATGAGGTAATTTATTCTGTAGTGAGGCATTACATTCTTCAGTGAGCATAACCATCCCATGCGTCTTAATCTTTTGCTTGTTAGAAAGGATGTCTTTTAAAAACTTTGCATAGCTAGGCATCTGTGCTAAGGCTTCAACAAATGGAATATTAATTTGCAATTTCTTAAAGACCTCTAAAAACTTTGAAAATTGTTGATCCAGTTTATCATTTCTAACTCCATTTGGATAAGGAAATTTAGATACATCTTTTCCAACAATAAAAGAATTAGAATTTGATGTACCTTTTCCTTTACCTCTTCCAATTTCTTTACCTTAGTCTTTGTCCCTTTTTCTGAATTCACTTTCTTTTCTTCAATAGAGACTGGTAACTCATCTTCATTTTCCAATTCTTTTGCGATTCTTCTTCACCAATCACCTTTCCATCCCTCAAGGTTATTGCCTTACATTTCTCCTTTGGGTTCTTTTCTATGTAACTCGGTAAATGCCCTTGCTGTCTACCTGAAACGATATTGGCCAACTGGCTAATTTGGGCCTCTAAATTCTTGATGGAAGCCTTTTGATTCTAAATTCTTGTCTCTGTTTAGGAACTTCGGCCATCATCTCCTCTAAATTTGATTTCTTCTCTTGAGATTGAAAACCTGGCGGTGGAGGTTTCACTTGATTGTTGTTACTTTAGGAGAAATTTGGGTGATTCCTCCACCTTGGATTATATGTTTCACTGTATGGATTGTTATTAGGCCTGCGAGAATTTGAAACATAGTTAGCTTGATCAAGCATAGAATTAATAGCAAACATGTTATCTGATTGACACTCATGGTTAGGATAATCTTCACCACAAAAATCACACATAGATGCAACTATTGTAGGTTTTTGCATTTGAAGTCCATCAATCTTCTTATTCAACACCTGAATTTGAGCTGCCAAAGCTGTGATGGCATCTATGTTAAGAACACTCGACGTTCTTCTCACAGGTAACCTTTCTGATGGCCATTGATAAGAATTTGAAGCCATTTCTTCCAACAATTCATAAGCTTGGTGTGGTGTCTTCTTACCTAGAGTACCACCTACAACAGCATTGATCATATTCCAGACTTCACTATTAAAACCATTATAAAAGGTCTGGACTTACAACCAAACTGGTAATTCATGCTGGGGACATCTCCTGAGCATGTCTTGAACCTTTCTCATGCTTCATATAATCACTCTGTATCCACCTATAAAAACATAGTAATATAATTATGCAACTATGCAGTTTTTGTAAGAGGAAAATATCTACTCAAGAATTTTTGTGTCATCTGCTCCCAGGTTGCAATCAAGCCTGCTAGTAATGAGGTCAACCAACTCTTAGCTTTGTCTCTTAATGAAAATGGGAACAATCTTAGTCATATAGCTTCATCGGAAACTCCATTGTGTTTGAAAATATCGCAAATATCTAGGAAATTTGCAATATGTAAGTTGGGATCCTCATGTGCCAAACCACCAAACTACACTAACAGTTAAATCATCTAGATGATTGTTGGCTTTATCTCAAAGGTGTTGGCATTGATCATTAGTCGTCGAATGCTCAATGCCGCTCCATTTAGAGTTAGGGTAGAGTACTCATTCAATGTACAAGTTGCTAGCGGTGTTCCATTATTTTGATTATCGTGATCACCCATGATCTCCCTTTTGCTTGCTCTCTTTCTTGCATGAAAAGTGCGCTCTATCTCAGGATCAAATGCTAGTAAAATCTTTCTAGAAGCTCTAGTCACACACTAGCAGAAATGCCAATTGGTTTCCAATAAAAACAAACAAAATAAAAAAATCTCAAGGTAATAGGTAATCTCAAAATAATCATAAACAATCTAATGATCCTTGGCAATGACGCCAAAAACTTGATGCGACTAAATTAACCCTAGCAAGTGCACTAGTCATGTTCAAGTAATAAAGTGATGAGTTTGAGTATCGTCCCACGGAGATCAAAGCAATTATTCATAATTACCCAAAACTACTTGCACGTTATTTGAGAAAACAAAATTTTAGAGTGCAAAACTAACAGATTAAAAATAACTAAATTAAACAAATAAAAAATGTGAAGAACTTTGCAATATTAATGGAGTTAGGGTACAGATTTCCCCTACTTACGGTTGACAACTACTCTTAATACTCGCTTGTGCTATGAATTGGTAGGATTCTTCTAAGGCCAATTATCCTTATTTAGGCATAATATTCAACTTAATATAGATCGCTACTTGGTTACTTGGAAATAAAGAAGCATAAATTCATCAATCCCTTACAACTAATTCGTCCTATTCGATTATGAAATAGGTGGACCATAAATTAATTCTAGAATCTCAATTCGATTACTTCCAATTTTAATACGCTGTGCAATGTTATTCCAATAAAACAATTATGAATATGAATTAAGCAATAAACCCTAACTTCTCTATTCGAAACATCATCAAGGTAATTGAATCAATCCAACATTCATAAAGCATTAAACCTAAACTCTTGCACAAATTTATAAACATAAATCTGGTATTAAGAATAAAAATTGTTTAAAACATAATCAGGATTCCATCCTCCCCTAACAAAAGAGATTTACTCCATCCTAAGAACAAAAAGAAAACATATTCAAACTTAAAAATAAACAAAAATCAAACTCTTAAATATGATATTCAGTCTTCAAGCCCCAAGAATGTGTCTTCTCCTCTCCAAAATATGCAAAATTTGTTTATCTTCAGTTAATCTCAATCATACTTAAATACCCTAAAGAGTCCTAAGTGATAAAGGACATAAAAACTGATAAAAACACCTTAATGGTTTCCACCACGGCCTTGGCCATGGCCAAATTTAAGTCACCACGTCCTAGGCTGTGGTGCTTTCTGTCCTCTTAGTTGTATCTTAATTCCACCACCATGGCTATGGTGACCAAGGCATGGTCGTGGCCTTCAAGAATGTTAGGTAATCTCAACTTCTTCAAGCTTTAAGTCCCAATTTCATTCCAATGCTCCAATCTACTCAATTGAAGCCTGATAAACACAAAAGCTATCCAAATCAATAGCTAACCATTCATATCTCAAACTTAAGAAAAACTAACATCAAAACAAAGAAAACAAATGAGAAATTAACTAAACTAACATCAAAACAACTCTTAAAACACTCAAATTATGCAACTTATGATTAGGCCATAATGAAATGCAAGAATCAAGCCTCAATCTCATTCAATCTTCTGTTATAGAAATTACTCCTAAGAATCCTTCTAATCACATTCAATCACATTGTTTTATTTCCTTAATTGTATTCACATTTTTTGTATAAATAGAGCTATATACAAAGTGTAATACTCAATACAAATACACAAAATATTTCTGAAACTCTTTCTCTTGCTTGGCAATCTCTAGCAGTATCTTCCTGCTTCTCTTACCTAATCTTTTCTTCAAACTCTGACAATTATGTGATCACTTGAGAGAATCCTATTTTTGTTCCTTTTATTTATTTTGGTATCTTGTTCCTTTTATTTATTTTTGTACCTCCTAGTTAACTAATATAAATAAAAAACATTTCCTCTTTGGATTTTTCTTTTTAAATTTACATTAAAAAGTAAATTAAAATTTTCACTTCAATTTTTGATTAAAATGTGTTAGGCATTATTAATGCTACAAAAGTTGATGGTAAGATCCAGTTCATTGTATCTGTTAAAAATCAGAATCTGCTCTGACACCATGTTAAAAATCGGAGTGAAAGAGTTTGTCAACTCTTTATGAAGCGCAGCTGAATGGTTATGGATGGGTGTTACTCTAATTTTTTTGATGATCATAAAATAACTAAATAATCAATCAACCATTATCATGAACATAAAGCACACAAGGAGATACATGGTTCAGCTAAAAACACTTTTAGCCTACATGTTAGTGTATGCCCTAGGAACCAATCATGTTGTTGGTTGCAAGGCATTATGTTTTGTATATATATGTTAATGTATATATTTTGTATATACATTTTTATCTTATCAATAGAGGAAAGTGTTCTTATTTCACATGTGGTTTATTGCTTCATTTATATATATGTATTACATGTGAAATATTCGGATGATACAAATCTTTAGAAGATCAAAATCACCAAAGTATTCCCTACATAGGTAATATTAATTGGGCAATAATATTACATAGTAGGCATGCTGAATGCCTCCGTAGAATATCATGTGATGGTATTAGTGTAGGTGATTATAAAATTTCTATCACTAGGGCATTAGCATGGATAAGCGGTTAGTGAACTATTTATCGAATATGGCCATTTATGATGAATCACATGGACATTTAAAATGTAGTCAATGATTCATCATAAGATCATACTAGTGTATTATTAATCCTTAGACCTGAGATATCACGGTTGGATTCTGCATAAATGCATATGATTCATATGGTGTATAAACACGAGGCTAATCATGTCATGTGTTAATAAGCTAATTTGGTCATGTGTTGTTTATGTGTGAGGACAAGTGATAGTCAAGATGGGATCCGTTGACTTGGTATAGATTGATATCAAGTTCCTAGACAAATGTCAAGATACATTGGAAAAGGGAAATCTCCGGCCGGAATATATAAAATTTTACCTAAAAGGTTGTTTCATGGTGACATGTTTCACATGTATTGATTGTCAATTTGATATAAAATTAAGATAAGGATTTTGACATACCATGAATCCATTCTTAATTGGGATTAGACAACAAAAGGATTTGATTATATAGCGCATATGATTAGAAAAGGGTTCGTTGGAGTATATCTTTATTGTGACTTACGGGTTATGGAGCATTGCTAGATGTCTACCATAATCAATGGGAGTTTTGTTCATAAAGAGTTATGACAAAACATATCAGAATAGACTATGATATTGGGCCCATGGCTAGGCCATAGTAAACCTAAGAGGTCACACATAAAAACTAAAGAGAATGGAGAAATAGCCAAAGAGAGTTGATTATCCAAGGTTGGCTAGCACCTACCAAGGGTAATAAAGTTATTTATATTATTATCATTGAATTAGATTCAATGGAGGGTTATATTAGTTATTATGAATGATTTAAGAGTTAAATTGCTAATTGGAATTAAATGGAATTCCAATTCATAATTAATCCTTTTCTTTATATTAAATTGAATTTAATAATGGGTTGTAATTGTAAACATATGAACAATTTAAGGGTTAAATTGTTAATTATGATTAAATGTTAATCCAATGTTATTATTTAAAGAAGTTTAACAACTTCATAATAATTATGGAATTATTTACAACTCCAAAACAATTATGGAATTGTTTAAGGAAGTCCAAAACAATTATTGAATTGTTTACAAGGCTACATATATAAAGAAAATGATATATCAATTTTGAGAGTGAGATCAAAATTTCTAAGAACCCTAAATGTCTCTCTTGGCCTAATTCTTCTTTTATCTTAGTGTGGATACTTTTTTGTTCAATTTCTCTTGAAATTAAAAGTCTCCAAGGCTACTAAGGACTTAAGGTAACAAGTTATACCTTATTTGTTTTCAATTTGATTGATTTTTTGCAAAATATGCATATACATGTTATGGTATCACATGCATCATTCTCCATGCATTCCATCTTTCACTACATCCATGGGACCTAGTCCGGATCGAAGCTAATCCACTATAACACAAACCATTACAAGACAATCCAGAGTTGAATTTAGATATAACAAAGTAAAACTTCCTGTTCTACAGTACACTAAACTTCACCCTCTGAGTGCTTCAAGGTTCTGTCACGACCAACTTCCTCCAAGAATCCTTCTAGATAGCTTGAGCCTCCCTCAAGCTTCAATGGTTAAAGCTTCCCTTCAACTCCTTGGTTAACTCTCTCTAAGCTCACAAACAATGTGGAACCAAGTTCCCGCACTCAAAGATCAACAAAGTGATTTATAAAAGAAAATCACAAACAATGAGAACCTGAAAAATGTACTCTAAAAATTTCAGAACAACAATGGAAGTTAGAATACTAGGTCTAAAGAAAAGGCAAGGAAGAAGATGATCTTATAAAGCCTTGCACAAATTCATCTCCACCGTACAAGCCACTTTTCAATAAGGAGCCTTAGATCACTCTTTTGAAAGAGTGAAACTTGTAAAGAGACAAGGCAATGCAAATATCATGCATAAAAATAAAACTTGATAATCAAGAAAGAAAAGTGCCACCTGTATTGGCAAACGAAATGTTTGCACATAAGAGAAATGTGTCCACTTATTTTGTTCATTCACAATC